TCAGCAGGGCCTGAAATTGATAGACCTGTACTGTATCCATCATAAATCATAGAGAGGGCTCTCTCTATTTCATGAATTTACATTCACACAAGGCCTTGACATAGAGAAGTTGAAAATATATTATTAACCAGCATTTTATTCCTCGAAGCCATTTAACAGCTAAAAAATAATAATTTAATCTCTTTAGGTTTAAAATCAAATTTAATCAAAGGACTAAATTATAATTTAATAACATTTAATTCCTCGGAACCATGCAAATGCAACACAAATTTAATTATTTTTTTTTAATTTCTGTTTAGAATTTTTCATTTTTTTAAGTCATCGTCCAAAATCCAACGGTATAATCCCTTCAACATTTAATTCCGCTAAGCCGTGCAACACAAGTTTCCGTTCTTATTCTACCCTTCACAACCCTTTTACATTAGCACCTTCACTTCTCACTCTGCATCGACAATGGCTTCCTTCAACATCCTCGCAGTAGTCTCTCTTTACCTTCTCTCTCTACTCCTCTTATCGAAATCCCGTCTTTCTCTCTCCCTAGTCTCCCCAGACATCCATGATCTTCTTCCTCAATATGGCCTGCCTCGTGGCTTACTCCCAGACAACGTGGAATCCTACACGCTACCATCATCTGATGGGTCTTTCGAAGTCAAACTTAAGACCCCATGTTATGTTCATTTTGATGATGTTGTGTACTATGATAAAGCAATCAAAGGGAAGTTGAGTTATGGTTCTGTGCATGATGTGTCAGGGATTCAAGCAAAGAAACTTTTTATTTGGTTGCCGGTTACTGGGATTGAAGTTAGTAAGGCTGATGATGGTATGATTAGTTTCTTTGTTGGTCCGATTTCCAAGGAGTTGCCTGCTAAGCAGTTTGAGGATGTTCCTGCTTGTAAGAAGAAGGTTGGTGGGCTAATGACAGATTTGGAGTCCATGTGAAGGTAAAAAGTTGTGTGATCTATAGGTTTTTATTTTTCTGACTTGTTTGAATTTATGGGTTTTATGTGTTTTTTTTCCCTTGTACTTTGAGTCGATGAGTTCTCCTGTTAAATTATGGTTTATAAGTGATGAATTAGCAAAGAAGATTGATGGGAATTGTAAATTACAGTTGAGGAATTTTGTTTTATAGGTTCAGATTTAGCAGTGGTGATTAGGGGGTTTCCAGATAATTTAGTGATGATAATGGAATCCATATGGAGCCACGGGTTCCTTTCAGGTTTCAGCAGAGAATTTGATGATCAATTATTCTAAAAGGAAATTTAGAAGCTTTCTTGTTGTTGGTCTGATTTGATTTTGGGACTAATAAATAGGATATAATTACATGAATTTCAATTTAGAAGTTAAGAATTTAGCTAGAGAGAACTTTAGGCACGATCGATGAAATTCTGACAAGAGTCATGCATGGATCTCTTCTAGATCATCTTTCAATGTGCAATTGTAATGTCTATTGGTGGTTGACACTTGAAAGTTGAAAACTATTGTAATGAGCAAATGTATCAAACGTTGTTTCCAAAACATTCTCAACCGTCAATGTTGTATACAATTTCGAGAATTGTAATGAATCCAGAAGTTTGAGCATCCTGGAAGGGTAATTGTAATGTTTTTCTAGCGAGGAAAGTCGACAATGGAGTCTTAGTTTATGGTTTGTGTTGACAAGCTGCATGATGATCTAGATAGAATCTGATCACGGTTTGCTAAGATTGTTTCTATACCACATCAACTGATGCCTGTTTTTCCAAATTTCATTATTAATTATTTAATTTTCAATCAACCATAGATTTAACATGTCATTTATTTCGAAAATCGGAGGCCAAAAACTCACTCACATTGCTGTACAATCACCGATGAGAGATGTGATTTTGGTTTCTTTTTCAATTTTTGCAGTTCCAGCATCCACTGGATGCAATAGCCACAAGTTACTTACATTCTAGGGAGTTTCTCAACAACTTAAGGAGGTTCCCTCTTTTTGTTGCAGGTGGAAGCAGACCAAATCTTCTCATGCATTGCTGCTCACTTTGAACATTGAAGCTCTCCACCTTAATCTATATCTTTGAGAAATGGAAGCAAATTTATGCAATTTGGATTGTCCTGTACATCGTTTAGTAAATAAATGCTGCTCTTCGATATTTTTGATGCTGTGAATGTTATGTGCTTTCTGTTACAGTTTTATTTTATCCTCAGGGGCTCCCCTTATGCTGAGCAATGATTTGGATATGCACAAGCACAAAAACTATGAATCAAATAGTAGCTCAAACTGTTGGGGATTAGGCCTCAGGGCATGTCTTAAATACTGTTTTCCTAAAAAAAAAAAAATGTTTGAGATACTGGTTTGTGAAATTTCGAAGATAAAGGTTAAATCTGATTAGGTCAAAAAATATGAATTGATCTAGTGATCTAAACTGTGAATTGACTTGATAATTTAATAACTTGAACTCAACAACCTTAGTTATTTAACCGGAGCTGGTGAGCGTTAGGTATTGTTGGTGAGTATTTGATTAATTTTTAGTTTTTTTTTTTTAATATTAGTGCATCAAAGTTACGAAAAAAAAATCTAAAAACCTTAAATTTTATGTCTTTTTGGATAAAAAATAATTTAAAAAACACATAGATATAGATTGTGATGCAAAAACAAACATTGATGAACCAGATCCCTGGACAAACATGTAAGCAACTTGCTAATTCTTTCTTTATCTAGCGTGTAAGCAGGACCTACTATGTCAAGAAAGGGCAGCATATTTTGCTGGGTCTGCAGTGGATTTCTGCAGCCTTTGTTATGAGACAGCAGGGCCTGAGATTGATAGACCTGTATCCATTATAAATATAGACAAGTCGAAAATACATATTATTGATCAATTATTTTTTCTTACAAAGAAAAAAGGGTGGCAATCACAAGCATAAGGTTGCTCTTCATAGTCAACTTGCACATCTAGCACTCAAATTCAAATTCTTGGCTTACTTTTTGCTAGTTTAACTTATGCTTCCATAACAGGATCCTTCCTATAAAATTCAAAGGTTTTGCTCTCTCCTCGTCTTCTTCCCAAGGTAATTCTTTATAGTTTAACATTACTTTATTAAAATTATCGAATAATACCTTGTGGAACATGAAGATAAAAAGCATAAGAGCAACTTTTGCTGATGATTTAACCAAGCATGCCTTCTCACTGTTTCCTTCTCACTTGTCATTTTGTTATCAAGCAAATCTTAACACTCTTGCCAAACCTCAGTTGGAGTTTCCTTTGCTTTGACCCTTGTTAAAAACATGCTTCAAAGTTTAGATTCCTATGCCTATAAATACAAGATTGCTCTCTTTCTCTAACCCTCACACAAGGAATTTCATTTCCCAAGCACATCTCTCTCTGTATACCTCTCTTCTCTCTAGCTAGAACCCTACGTGACAAACCAAGCAGCCTACATGGAACGCCACAAAGAAGTTGCTAAGCATGATGGTCTTAACATTGATGACAGGAAAAGTGATGGAAGGAGGATAACAAGGACCCGAAACTGGTTGGTTGTGGAGGACAGTTGGGAAGATATAAATGAAAAGGCTGATGCTTTCATTAAGAGCTTCCGCAATCAACTTAAGATTCAACGCCAAGATTCGCTTAAACGCTTACAGGAGATGATCTCCCGGGGAGTTTAAAAAAATTGATCACTTGTTGTGTAGTATGTCAGGATAAATCGGAAAAATTCTATTGCAAGATGAAATGTAAATGTAGTGATGTTGATCAATAATGTTTTATTGTAAAGGATATATATTTTACCATATCTTTGATGCTTCTTTGCCAAGTATTCGTGCTTTGCATTGAATCCCAAAATCCAACATAGTTTAGGAATAAGATTCATATGTTAAATAATTAATTAATTTTTTAGTTTAAATAATTTGATCTTGATTTATTTTTTATAGTATCTAGTAACTTGACATTAAAAATAAAAAAATTAATAAATAATAGCATGTAATGTTTGATAAATCAAGTAACTAGTAGTTATGGTAACAACAAGTGTTGCCTTATCAACTAGATGATCAATTGCTCTAATAGTGACAGGTAACGCCTGGTAAGCCAAGTGACCGCAAGCTAGTATCCGTGCAAGATCTACTTTGATAGACACAAGAACTTTCTGATAGTAAAGTCAGTAACTTTGTTGAAAGAGAAAGTGTAATAATATTTTAGAAATATTGACTATGAAAATATGTATGCTAAAAATTTTGATAATAAAAAGATTGTGACCATTTGATTTGAAGGATTCATAATATATTTATAACTCATGAATCTTTTTTTTTTTGTGTGGAAATGAGATGTTAGAGTATAATTTTATCCTTATGATATTTTAAGTTGTATTCAATAAAAAATAACATGTATTGAATTAGTATGAAATAATAAGGGATCAACATGGAGTCTCAACAATATCCCTGACGAATATTGGCTTGAGTTCAATAGAGATGAGAAATGGGTCTAAATGCTTTACCTGGATCTAAGCATGTTGGACTCGAGGTATACTCTTGAGCCCACAAGTTTTTTGGGCATGTCACATCTAGCACGAACTCGAACATTTTAACCAAGACCATGCCTTTAAGAGAGTTGGGCTTGAATTATCATGCTCAAGCTTGATCTTTTAGACCTTTTACATAACATTGGACTTGGTCTTATCGAGCTTGAGCTATCAAGCCCAATCTCCAATGGTGTTTTTTGGATTTATTAGGGAATTTTTTAGGTTTATTTTGGAAAGATTTTTTAGATTTTTTTTTTGGATTCATCACCTTGACACTTCCAATTTAACAAAGAAATATATAAAATTTAACAAAATAATAAAGTCAATTTCATTCATTAGTCTAGGGTTTTGTCTATATTTCTATCTAATAAAATTGAACTAACCAGGATCCTATTATGTATGCTTAATTTTTAAGATTTTGATCTCAGTTTCACATTAACGAGAATATGATTTTGAAGAATTTAAAGAAATCATTTATATTATCTTTTAATATAAATTATTAAATTTTCTTTATGATGCGTCACATATCTAGTACAATGTATGAGAAAAATTGAGGAATATTTATATAGTCAAATACTCCCAATGGGTCATGATATCCTAGCCAAATACTTTCTTTTATATAGTAAAAGTTATATGATGTACGAATAAATGATACGAATATGTTTATGAACAGGATAAATAATGCAAAGCATATAAAGAAAACTCATAAAAAAGCTTGAAGACATCCTCACTTCTACAGGGTTTAGTATATTGCAACCAACTGAAGTCTTGAAAACTGTCAAATTAGGCTTGAAAGATGTTGTTTATTTACTTTTTGTAGTTAATTATGGATTTTAATTACTTTCCTATCTTAATTATATTGGTATTTTTTTATTAAACCAGTTTTAACTCTATATAGTATTTTTTGTTACATCATATTATTGAATTGTAGACTTTCCATAAAATATTATACAGTTAATTCCTCTATAATTTAGTGCTGTAACCTGGAATTTTATTTTTGATCCACGCTAAACACATAACAGATTTTCTCTACATCATCAGTTGATCAAGTGGTTTAAGAGATTCAATCGACAGGTTACAGCTATATAATCTCTAAGCTAAATACAATATCCTTGAAAAGTGTTTTCTCCCAATCTTAAGGTTGCTTCTCAAGCTTAATTACACATTTAAGAACTCTATTAAATTCTTGGCTCTTTAATTAGCTTGTGTGCTTGTGCTTAATTCTATCATAAGATCCTTCGAATAAGTACAAAGGTTGTGCTCTAACCTCACCTTCTTCACAGTTCACAAGGTGATTGATCTTTAAAATAATACTGCGTGAAACATGAGCATAGAAAGCATAAGCTAAAAAGGAATTAAATAAAAAAAAGGTTCCCTCTCAAGCAACTTTGCTAATAATTAAATCAAAGCAACCCTTTAATCGTTTCTTTTCACTTGTCATTTTGTTGTCAAGCAAATCTGAACACTCTTATCTAACCTTGTTTGAGTTTTTCCTCTGCTTTGACCCATGTCAAAAACATGCTTCAAGGTGTAGATTACTATGCCTATATATTCAGGATTATGCCCTCTTTCC